TAGAGCAGGGTTTAGGGCTGTTGTACATAGGGTCGCTATGAGTCGCAAACAACTCTATGGCACATAACAACAACAGGAAATGCTCTACGCCTATGCTACTAGCACTCTTATAAATATTCATAACTTCAAACACCCTATGCATCAGGATGGACTCACTGACAATGAGATAGCTCTAAATATATTTTGAGCATTTTATCAGGAGAGGCCAATCCCTGGAGAAGGAAAGTTGAAAAGTGGAGGGAAAGTTGGAAAAGTAGAGGGTTAGTACAGAAGAGAAATATCTTCAACAAAATGAATTGACATAAGGGCTACAAGTGTGGGTTTCAGGACAGCAGAAATTGTGAAGATGGAGAAGGATTGGGTAGGGTTTTATAAAGAAGCTATGTTCCGGAAGCCACTCTCCAGCAACTAACAGCAACAGTTCTAAACACTGATTCCATGCATATATGCCCATCACATTGTTATGTGGATCTCAATACTTGGACCATGATACATTATTCTTGTCTATATAATATTTCTGAGATTGGGTGGGAACATCATCTTCAGCCTTGTTGCCTAGTCTGTGGGGTTTTCCCCAGCCTCAGCAACAGCCCCTGCTAGTGTCCAGAAACCTTAGCAAACTGACTACGCTCCTGCTTTTACACTTCAAGCATCAGATCACCCACTGAGTGTTAGAGTCTACATGCAAATATGCCTTGATTCTATTTCACTTTTCATACACTTAGGGTCTCAAAAGCTGAGCAAAGCTGACCATTAGAGATATGATTGAACTGTCGAAAGTACTTGAAGTCATTTATGCATATTTTGCCTTGTATGTTTATTCCTCCAATTAGACATTTTCACTAATACAACATAAAGCCTGAAAAATGACTGTACTTTGGGTCTTTCTTAAGCCTGACGTCCCCATCACAACATCTCCACTTATGAGATGAGGTTCAGTTTTCGCCCACATGAGCTTGTTTATCTCTTACAAAGCTTGGGATTGCTTCCTGTGCTATCTTTTGCTTCATCTAAAATGTCTTCATAATTTTTGATGGAACAAGAATGTAAAACCTCCCTTGACCTCAGCTATTTGGCTATACCTCCCTATCAGCAGCTGTTCTCAATAAGCTGGGAATTTTCCGAGAAGATTTTTGAAAGTTCTTTACTTTTTTTTTTCCCCCCAAGGCCCCAATTCAAGATAAGAAAAAAAAGCTTTGAAAATATCAGAGGTGCTTTATTTATGTGGGTTATTTCGACCAATACCTCCTGTAATAAAACAGAGAATAACTACTATTTTAAATAGTAGTAGTAACAGAATCATAAGCAACCTCTTTTATGAATATAAGTATATTTTTCACCTACCTCCCCAGTAGTTGAGACGAGTAGCATCAGTTTACATTTTTACAAGTATTTTTGTTGGTCTGTATTAACAGAGGACAGCTGGATTCTCATATCTCAATTCTCCTTCAGTCAGTTGCATTATAATAGGTCGTTTCCCCTTTTCTGTAAAATTCCATTTACACTTCTGAGAGAATCAAAATGAAAAGTCAAATATCATCTTCATGTTAATAGGAATATATTTCTAACCTAATGGATTTCCTGAAAGTGAGGCATAATTTGAGAATTATTTTCTGAAGGATAGCTAGCAACCCTCTTAGGCAATAATAGTTAGGAACCAGAAAAAGTATGACAGTCTTACCTTCCCTAAATATGTTATGGCCAGTCACTGTGTCTTCTGTCTCCTTTTTCTTCTGTTGGAAGAACAATCTACTTCTTTTCTACTCTCAAATTTCCATGGAGTGTCTGATCATTTATAAAATTAAGCATCAATCTCTCTTAGTTTTGTCTGTGATATTTTCCTGGACTTCTTCAGTTCTGATCCACATTGCCCACACGCACTATAGACTTCATGCTTTCTCCAGCCAGTAACATACTTTGGGCATGTTGTCAGGAGGGACCAATCTTTAGAGAAGAACATCATAATTGGAAAATTGGAGGGACAGTGTAGGAGAGGAAGACCCCACATGAAATGGATTGACACAGTAATTAGAGAAATGGGAATAAATTTGTTGGAGACAGCGAGACTGGTTCAAGATAGGGCAGGGTTCAAAGTTATAGTGCATAGAGTTGTTATAAGTCACAGCTGACTCGACAGCTATATAACAACAACAACAACAACTCTTTATTGAAGTATGGCAAGGTAGCATGAGCCTGAATTCAGAATTATATCCCCTAGGATATGCATCTTTATTCTTTTAGTTATAGTTGTATGACTTTGTTGAAAGGTACTGTCATTGGAGTCTTGGCTTCCTCATGTGTAAAATAAAAATTTTGTAGGGTTTTGAGGAAATATTAAATAGAACAATTTTAATAAAATTCTAACAAAGTTCTTATGAAATTTTACTTAATGAATTACATCTATAACTATTATCATTATCTAATTATTATTATGTTTTTGCTAATCTAAATCAATTATATTTTCTATATCTACTCTCAACGTCAGATTCACAAAGACTGCTTAATTAATTTTGGTTAGCAGTGGAACAAATGATGGACTGACTATTCACCAAACTGCTATGAGTAACTGATTTTATTGAATGTGTGTATTAAAAGAAGCACAAATTAAATCTGTAGGCATTACTAAATTCATCAAGTGCTTTTAAAAAATTTTTTTTATCAAGTGCTTTTTATGCCTTGAATAATATATGTATGTTGAAACAAATAAGCAAAAATAACAGTAAGGGTTTGCACTGAGAATTTGCAACTCGAGATTATCACAAGCAGATATTTAGCAAATAACATCATCTTTTCATAGCTTTCTTTGGTAAAAATTGGCAGGCAGGTTCTTTTCTTCTGTTCATCTCACTAGATTGCTGAGAAAATAACATAAAACCCCACTTCTGAAATAAGGTCAAAACCAAGACACTGAAGAAATATAATGTTATTGCTATTATTAGAAATAGACTAGTCATTTTTATAGTGCATACTTCACATTCATCATTTACTTTCTTTTCCATATATGTAAGGTTGTTTTCCTTAAGTAAATTATATCACATAAAGGCATAAGTTAAATCAGTGGAAAAGAATGAATGGAGAAAATATGGTACATTCACACAAGGCGTTACCTATGCATAATTGAAAAAACAATGAGGAATTAGTGAAACATTACACAGTGTGGATAAGTCTAGAAGATACTATGCTATGTGAAATAAGTCAGTCACACAAAATGGCAAATACTGTATAAGATCATTTTATAAAAAGGTAGAGAAAGCTTTACAAATGGAATAAATACAGTATGATTACTAGGAAGGGAGAGATGGGACGTAGAAAATAAATTCATAGACAAATAATGCTTATTAGGATGGGTGGGTGGAAGGACAATGTGGCATGAATGCATGATAAGAAATTAGAAATATTATAATTAATGTTAGTGAACACACAATGCACAGACAATTAAAAAATATATAAGGGAGTTTACAGCCCTATGATAGAGAATATACAATATAAAAATAGAGACTCTCAGACAAGAGTCTTATAATGAAAGTTTACAGAATATTCCCGGGTCTCCACAAGAAAAAGACTGAGAACCTAATTGCAAAGCGGACAAAACATATGGAAAGAATTTTCACAGAGGAAGATATTAGAATGGCGAACAGACACATGAAGAAATGCTCAGTAAGAAAGAAGAAATGGCAATAAGAGAGATGTAAATCAATACCATCTCAGTCCAGTAACAGTGGCAAAGTTTAACAGGGCATCAAGTAATAAATGTTGGAGGGGGTGTGGTGAGAAAGGAACTCTTATACATTGTGGTAGGATTGTAAAATGGTACAAATATTCTGGAAGGCAGTTTGGCTCTTCCTCAGAAAGCTGAACGTAGAAATTCTGTATGACCCAGCAATTCCACTACTTGGAATATACCCTGAGAAAATGAGAACTGAGAAACCAAAGGAGATTTGCACACTAATGTTCATAGCAGTGTTATTCACCATTGCAGGAACATGGAAACATCCCAAATGTCCAACCACAAACGAATGGATTGAGAAATTATGGTACATTCACACAATGGAATACTTCACAGCACACAGGAGCAATAACTTTGTAAATTGTTACCTAACTTGGGAGGGATTGGAGAGCATTATACTAAGTGAACTAAATCAGTCCCACCAGGACAAATATTGTATAAAACCATGATTGTATAATAAGGATCCAAGGTGGGTGGGGAAGGGTGGAAGCAGAGGGATGAGGATGTGCAGGGGGAGGGGGAGTATTCATGGAGTTGTATAATTTGATGGTTGAGGGAGGTGAGGGAAATTGGAAGAATCTGTTTTCAAAAACAATGTATTCAAATTTTGTAAATAAAATAGTTGTTGTTTTTGTTGTTTAAGTACTGTCAAGTCGCAGGCGACTCATAGCAACCCTATGAAGGAGAGTTCTCAACTCGGGTGTCTTTCACCCTCTCTCCAGGTTCATAGGGTTTCCGGAGGCAAGCTATTTGGAAGTGGATGCCATTCCTTGCTTGTTTTAATAGAGGAACTCCACCCCACTCTCAGTCCCCATTGGGTAGCCAACCATTAACACATTTGACACATCCGTGTCACATGGTTCAGCCTCACAGAAACCACAAGCAACCACGGGACGGCAACTTGTACACCAGGGCTATACGATCTAGGGGAATGTCTGAACAAAAAACAATGAAAGGCCCGAGGGCTGAGGAATAAAAGTCACCCACCTTTGGCTTGGTAGCATCACCTTCTGTCCACTGGGCCAGCTGATCTCTCTCTCTCTCTCTATGTTGATATTCTTGTTAAGTGCCGTCAAGTGGCAGGTGACTCATAGCGACCCTAAGAAGGAGAGTCCTCAACGCTTGGGTGTCTTTCATTCTCTCTCCAGGTTCATAGGGTTTCTGGAGGCAAGCTAATACAAATAAAATAGTACAAAATTTAAAAAAAAAATAGAGACTATAAGAAATTATGATTTTCTTCTTCACATCTGAATTCTTTGTTTCCTCATTTCAGGTGCCTGTGGTTGCCATATTGGGCTCAGGTGGTGGCTTCCGAGCCATGGTGGGATTCTCAGGTGTGATGAAGGCACTGTATGAATCAGGGGTTGTGGATTGTGCTACCTACCTTGCTGGTCTTTCTGGCTCCACATGGTTAGTATGCATTTTTAATTACACCATTTTATTGTGTTACTAGTGTTACATTCACCTTTAACAGTTTCTTTTTTTCCCCCAAGACAGTGGTTCCATTCTTTCCCAATGTGTTAATATAATCATTATTCCTATTCTCATTGTTCCGTTTCCATTTATCTATCATCCTTTCCTGCCTCCTCTGCCCCAATTTCTTTCTCATTTTTTTTTCTTTAGGGTAAATATCAAACACTTTTTCTCTTGTAGATTGTTTTTTTAAAAGACCACTTTACATAGGCGATTTGCTATTTCATGAGCCAATTTGTTATTTAACTGAAACGTGAACTCAGGTTTGGTTTCATACAAAGTTTAAAGGATAACCAGAACAGTAATATTGGAGAAGGACAATTCCTGTAGTTTCAGTTGGTCCGGTAAATTCATACTTTTTAAATTTTATTTATTTTTTTCTTTTTTTAAGAACTGAGCTATGTTCTGTGTTTTTCGTCCATTCTGTCCCAGAGCAATTACTGTGTCCCTGGTCAGGGGGGAAAAAAGGTAGTGATAGCCAGGCGTCATCTGGTTCTATCAGAATAGATGAGGTTGTAGGCCCTTTGGGAGCTTGGTTTGTAAACTAGTTTCTTCTTTAAGAATTTGATTCCTTTTTGTGCCCCTTTTGATTCAGATGAATACATACCAATAGCTGTATTTTAGGCACTCAAAAGCTTTTAAGATCCCATATGCAGTTCACCTCACTGAGCTGTAGGACATTAAGCTTATAAAAGAGGTTATGCCAACTGGCTGAATCGTCACTACTAGACTGCAAGTAAGCATTTATCACCTTTATTTTTTTTTTATATTAAATATATGGAATATGTCTACCTCAAACTTCAGAAAAGAATAGGGAATTTTGGAAATTGAATATTAACTTAAATCTATTTTAATGTTCTAACTTACTGAAACTATCTAGTTCTTAAAATATTTTTTAAAAGCAAAGCTCAGATAATAACTTGTATTATATGGTGATTTCTTTCTATCTGCTTGACACTTAATGCTGAAGTATAAAAAAGTAGATCAACTGAAATAATTCAAGATAAATATCATACAAGTTGAATAACATACTCCACCCATAATTAATTTAATCTGCTTATAATTTACTGATTTGCAGTCTTTCATCAAGCCTGACTAAATTGACGTGATTCACTGGGTATTCATCTTATTCTTTAGGGCAAATAGAACGAAATGCATGATACCTTAGCTCCCATAAGAATCAAAACAACTTTTGAATGAAGATATGCAATAAATTTCACTGATTCGAGTCTAACTAAATAGGAAATTAATCCTTTAAATATATTTTGGCTTAGCAAAATTCAAAGACAGTATAACAGCTTCTGCGTGTGATTTTTGTACCTGTCATTTGGTTTTTAAAAATATCTTTTCCAAAATATTTTCTAAATAAGATAGCATACTTTGTCCCATCACCTCAAGTTCTCAAACTGAAAAAGAAATAAAATTCTTTGTCTCAAATAAGAATATCAACTTATTATGAAGTGTAGAACTTTTATTTAAAAGGTATTTCTAGTCACTTAAGCCATGGTGAGAATTATCATGACATTAGATTACATTACATCTAGTATTTTAAAGTTTTTTGTGCACTTGAAGATGGATCTTTGTTTCTTGATTTATCAATTAAAGAAAATTTTACTCAGAAGCCAAATGATTTGGCCAAGATCACCAGACTTTACCTCCAGTTCTTTGTACCCTGTCATCAGAATGGTTCTTTCTCCAACACCACATCTCTTGCACAAATATGTACGGTTTTGCTCCAATAACACACATCATTTACATATTTGTCAACAGCTCATCTTCACAGGAGGAATTTTTGTTAAGTGCTGCTTTTCCAGTTTAAAACAAAATGTTATAAAGAAAGGGGAAATAGCATTGTACATTTGTAAAAACACCTCTGAGAGGGAAGGAGTATTTGTTAAATGTAGAAGTTGCAAGCTCTTTGTGTAAAAATAATGATCAAGAGGGGCTTGATCCTTTGGATAATGTACATACAGTTTCTCAGATATTTTGGAACCAGATGCCACAGTCATAAAATAAAAACCTAAAGTATGGTTGCCACCTTCCTTGTCTGCACCCTCAAAATGATTTATCTCATCTGAAAGAAGGGTGTAGCCCATCATTATTCTTTCCCCTGAAGGAAAGAGCAGGCACCTGCCTGTTTAATGAGTAATATGATGTAAAAACTTGGACCCTTGAAAGAGTTCACCTACTCACTCCTTTTTATTATTCTTCAGGTTTTTTCTTCCTCTGTATTCAGTGTAACTTAGGTCCTTGTAGTCTACCACTGGCCGATGTACTGCAAGCAGTGTAATTTCTTAATCTAATCTAAAAAAAGGGAAATCCAGTGGTTCAATGGTAAGTGGTTAGGCTTCCAATCCAAAGGCATGTGGTTCGAGTCCACCAGCTGCCCCCTGGGAGGAAGATAGGTCATTTCTTCCCATGCAATTTACAATCTTTGAAAATTTTCTGGAGGGTCAGGTATGAATCAGTTTCAGCTTGATGGTACATAACACAATGCTCTAAGAGTGCATATTTGATGGTATTACTAGTTTTATTTCCTTAACTGTTACTCCTCCTTAATTCCTTAAGATAGATTTTTTTCACTTGGCAACTACCTGGTTTCCAAATATGTTTTATATATTGAACTTATAATTCTCTCTGACCTGTTTAGGGAGAGTGAGTAAGGATGGAGACCTTTTTTTATACAGTCGATTTTTCACTTTCTATACTGCCTTTTTTGGTTACATTTTCTCTCCAGTTGCTCTTTGCTATGTATTCTTTACTAATTACACTATTTTCCTCCTTTGTATATACTTTCCTCTACGTCTTCCTTTTTATTCTATTCTAGCTACATATCTTCGTTCATAATATAGGCAGTCTATATAGTTAGTTTTATTACTACCACCTCAGAGCAGAACTCTGCAGGTAGAGTCCTTAGGGAATTGTCTTGATAACCCAAATGCCTCCCTTCAGTTTAAATTTGTCAGCTGCTCTGCAGAAGTAAGGACAGTCCCCTACTACGCAATGCACAACCTCCAAAAACCCACTGGAGGGGTGAACTATAAGTTGATTCTGACTCTGCAACAATGAATATTGAGTGCGTAATGTTACTTCATGTCAAGTGGGTGGTGTTGATGTTAACAAGAAAGATAAACGGTTTAAGTCTCTACAGAGGCACCTTGGAAGACAGGGCTAGTTTTATGCTCTGAAAAGTCACAGCCTTGAACTCTTTGAAGTGCTTCTGCTCTGCACACTTGTGGTTGTTATGAATTGGAATTGAGTCAGTCACAACCAATACTTCAGATGTCACCATCAAGAATGTGATATGTGATCAGCGGAAATTAAGTTGTTTGTTTGTTTTCTTGTTGTTTACTGTTGAATCAAATATGAATAGCACAGGAGGAGATTGTGCCTCCTTCTCCAGCAGAGAAACTGGTGGATTAGAACCTTGTGCCTTCGGGATTGCAGCTCAGCTTCTTGCCACTAGGCTACTAGAGCTCTTTTAGACTATTTAATGAGATTGTAAGGAATAAGAAGGGACTGGAGAAAGAGGGAAAGGTGGAAAAATGTAATACTGCTGAGAGCTATGTATTGATTTAAGCAATTAGCAATGGTGGCTTAATGGTAGAATTTTCTCTTTCCATGTGGGAGAACCAAATCCATTTTTGATCAATGCACCTCGACCACAGCCCTCATCTGTCTGAATCTTGCATATTGCTTTAGTGCGGAATGAGACTAAGATAAACATGGTCATCTGCTTCTGAAAGTTAACCAGAAACAGCTCTATGATCACAAGAGTACTGCCTCTTTATATGTGTGTTCACCATGATGTTGGATGATGGTGGCTACTCAATTATAGCAATTTTGTTAAGCAATTTGGTTAGAAAGGGAAGCCTTGGGATAGTTATTGTTCAAAGGAAATATAACTTAAAGCTAATGAGTTGATCAAACTCATACCAACCCTGTAGGACATGTTTTGTTCTATAGATTATAAATCTTTAAATAAGGAAGCAATCATATCTTTTTCCTGTGGAGTGGCTTTAACCATAGCACCACTAAGGTCTAGAACTATGTTGTTGTTGTTTAGTGCAGCCAAGTCGAAGCTGACTCATAGCTGGCCTTTCAGTGGGTTTTCAGAAGCAGTAAATTGCATGGGAGGAGATTTCCCATCTTTCTCTTGTGTTAGCTGCTTGGTGAGTTCAAATCACCTGCTTTTGGTTTGGCAATGTGACTCCTTATCCATGAGGCCACTAGGGCTGGAAACATAGGATTCAAGAAATACAGAAATCAGGAAAGTGCATTTATTTGGGTTTTTCCCCCAGAATTTTTAAAGAGACTTCACTTTTTCTAGAAAAACAAGGTGAAAATAAAATAGTAGGGAGGAGAAGATGGGAGATAGGAAATAGAAGGATCAGGAAGAGACAGGACAGGACAAGATAAGAAACATCGAGGAAGGTGTTAACTGTGTAGAAGAGATGCTTCCTGAACGGAAGAAAAGGTGGTCAAGATGACTCATGTGAACAGTCTCTTGAAAAGTAGAGGTGAGAAGGTAAAAAGTTCAAAAGGAGGAATTCGGAAAGACTTGGAAAAACAAATTACGTTCCTGTGTGGTGTAAGTTTTTATATTCTGTTGATACATGGCCATTATTTGGCATAAATGAGGTAATTCAGAACTGTCTAGAGAATCCCTAGACCTCTCAGGATGTTTGCTATGGTCACAAAAGAGAAGTTTATGTAAGACAAAATCTTCTCTTTTAACTCCAGCTACATTTATGGTAATTACTTCTAAAATGAATTTTGGATGGTCCTTGTTGTTTATTAATTATGAGCTTTAAACAACTGTAGGAACAAATATGAGCAAGTTATACGAATTATGGCACTAATTCTTTGCTCCTTCACTGACTACTTACTGGAGCTCTCTTCCTCAGAGTAACTTGGCAATGGTCTAAGACACTATT